GAGTTTTCAGCAAAAAGTAGAGTGATGAATAAAGAGTTTTGAGAGATATAAAATGAAGATCTCCGTGAGAACAGACTGTGGCGTCTTGCAGCTTTGATGCTGTCCTCTCCCCGTCTTATTTTTGGTTCCTTTGAATAGAATAGAAGAGGAGGCTCTGTGCTTTAGATCTATGCCTGCACAGACGGGAGAGGGAATTAGAAAGTAATACGTGTTTGTGTGAAAAAAACGTTGTTGACTTCTATAGATTCTCGAGATAGGAAACTTGCGGTAATGGAATCTGAAAGAGATCGATGTTGAAGCATCTATACACACTTGAGGATGCGGAAGACCGCCTCTCTTGTATGTTCGTGAGCAAACCGAACCCAAAGGGACGGGGCCCGGCCACTAGCCGATTGAACCCTCCCATCACACCGTTCCCCCTTTTTCCTCGATATGGCTTTCTTTGATCCGGAACAGCAACCCTGATCAGAGACAAAAACAACAAGAACAGAACCCCCCTCCCCCAAAGGAGGAAAGATGATGGATCAATGGGGCAATGGGGGGGCCCACCACAAGCAGCTGGAACAGTGAAAAAAAGACGGGAAAGAAACCGTCACAACAGAAATCCAGACCACACTTCCTCGCACGCATTACTCCACCAGAGCGACCCGACCGACTGGGACCCGAAGTCAAACGAGGAGGAGGGGGGCTGCGGCAGGGCGACTAATACGTCAGGCGAGACACGACTGCTTTGTCCGTTGACGGCCAGAGTTTGCCATCCTGGGTAAGGTCAGGCGAGGTTGTAAGCGGCGTTTACTTTCTCCTGAGAGGGCTTGGGAAGAACAAGCCCCCCTACCCAGACTGCCGGTTCTCTCTCGCTTTCTCCCTCTCTCTCTCTCGCTTTCTATTCGGACTTACAAGTCCAGGTGGTTTTGGTGTGCCGACTCTCTTTATCTGCTCGATACGCCTAAAATCCAGTATGAGACATGGCGGAGGGCGGGGAGGAAGAGGGTCGGGTGAGTGACAGCTCGACAGGGGGTGGAGGAGCGAGACACAGCGACGGAAAGGATACAAGGTGGTGGGCTCGCGCTTCTCGTTGCGTATGAAATGTCTGAGAAATTCCAGTCCGGCCGGCCTAGAAACGAGTCGCGTGCCGGCCGCAACAAGAAGCCAGCTCCGCCCGCCCCGAATATGGAGGTTCCGAGACAAGATCCGCCCATTCCACTCCGTTTTCCCTCCTCGCCATGCTTCCTCTACCCTCCTACACATTGACTTACCCTCAATTACAATTCTTACTCTTAGCACAGTCCCTCGCCCGGCCAAAGACCGGTAAATCGGACAGCCGTGCTTTCAGCGGTTTGCGGACGGAGCTTGGATTTGTGAAGGGGGGCTGAGCAATCGGTTCCGTGGTGTCCCGGACGACTACTAGACAAAGAAGTCAACGTACAATAGCCTTGTCCAAGGTTTAGACAGACACAAACACGAAAACACTGTGCTCGACCCTAAAAAAACCATGTCAATGACAAATTTCCTTCAAAGAAACACCCGTCCCCCCCTCCAAAATAGCCTTACAACCCGTCTTTTTGATCATTCGAAGAGTGGTCTGTAGAGGTAAAGCATCAATTTTGCCTGCTGATACTGAACAAAAAAATAACATCACCAAACGCCGAATTATCTCTCCTGGACTACGCGTCTGATGTGCAACCTCACGCCACGGCCTCGTTTCACAGTCCCAGGCCGTCGTCGACAAGCCTTTCAGCTCCTAAAGCCACTTGAGCTTGGCAATGTGGTCCGTCTTCTTCCTGCTCATCTTGACAAAGCCGAGTGCTTTTAGCTCCGCCAGGCCCCGGTAAAAGGACACCAGTGCCCCCCGCTCATCGGCGTTCCCTTCGCTCTCCGTATCGCCGGCAACCATGGCGTAGAAGGCGGCCCATAGATCTGCGACGTTGATGAGGTTACCCGTCTCCAAAAACAAATGGTAGAGCAGCGACGTGACGGGCATCGTCGTGGAGATGCCTTCGTCGGTGCTGCAGCACGAACACGCGAGGTAGTCTTGCGGTCGCTTCAGGCTCCGCTCAAAGACATCCTGGGGCCGAGGTACGAAAACGTCGCGGTACGGTGTCTTGGAATCGTATAGCCATGTCTCGTGCAGGAAAATCTCTGCGGCCGGTTCGCAGTGTATGACGTCTTGGAATACTTCCGCGACACGGTCCACGATTTTAGTAAAAGCTTTATCGTCTTCGGAAAGGGCTGCCGAATCGTGGCTGAGCTGCACCTTTTGTGCAACAACGGTGGTGCGAAGGACCCGGCTGTGGCCACTGTAGGCGCTCCGCAAAGTGCTGCCGTCCTCTTGCGCCCTGCCGAGAAGCCCCTTTGAGTCGCGGAGAAGGCTTTCTACAAGAGAAGGGAGGTCCCCGGCCTCGGACTCCCATCCGGTGAGACACAGCTGGGCATCTCCGCTGGCCACGGCGTCCTGAACACGTTGCAGCATCGAGACAAAGTCATCCGGTTGCATCCGCTTGATGCTTTCAACAATGTCCCAGCCATCGGACGAAGGGGAAATTCCCTCGGCCACCGCCTTCATGTACATTGAGGAAAAGTCGTCTTGAACGACACCCGTTGCCTGGATGAGCTTGAGCGAGCGGAGAAGGCGGGTGACCCATTCCCGTTTTTTCTCTGGAATGTCGAAAACCTTTTCGCGCAACAGGTCATCATCCTCCAACAAAGACTTCGCTAATCTCAGATCCTTCGCTTCAACGGCCTTTTCAACCTCGCGCCGAAATGAAGGAAGCGACCGGATTGACTCGAGATGTACGTCCTGGACAAGTTCGCTGTTCATTTCATCGTCCTCCACAGCAAAGACGCTCAACGGATTTGCATAAAAGTGACACATATATGCGTACTATAAATGTCAGCCCGGCCGCTACAGCATTCATTTGGAAGCCTTACCTTAATTGATGCGATAAAAGACTGAATGCTGGCGACCTGGTCTTGCTGTCTTTCCACGAAACTGTGCAACAAATTCTCTCCCAAAGTCAGAGCAGCATCCGATCCCGCAATAGTCGGCTTGAAGATCTGTTCCAAAATCGCGCTTGTTTGGACGACATCGAACTGAGCACCGTAAAGATGTTGGCACGCGGATTTGAGTAATCGCGCTTGCAACAATTCTACTGATGTTGCGATGCCAAATAAAAGTGTGAATGGGATCTTGGGCCTCCATGAGCTAGTTTCAAAACGTTAGTATGCTTCAGAAGTCTGCTGTGATAGCAACTTACTTGAAGAGGATGATCAGATCGGAGAGAAGAGCGCTGTCAAATCCTTCGCTATCCTGGAAAGAGACAAAAATGTGATCACATTTCTGCGCCGTTGAGAATGCGTACAGACCCTCGAGGTCGTAGTTGAGATACTTCCGGCCCTGATGTTTGTGAGCTTAATATTGCATTCTTCAAGCTGAAGGAAAGTAAACCCACATCTTGTCCGGATGCAATTTCGACATCATCGTCATCCAGAGATCCCCGAGACGTGGCATCCTCAATGATCTTCTTGAGAGCAGCCTTCAAATTGGACGCTTCCGATGACTTGAGCCTGACAAACTTGCTTCGCGTATTCCCCTCAAGCGTTTCGGATAACTGTTCGAACAGCAGGTCTTGAGATGAGATGTTTGGGCCGGTGATGATAAAAGCAGTCGGGATTTTGCTCCTGTGGTGCCGTCAGTCGTGCAAGTCAACCCCACGCCGTTCTCACTCACTGTGAACCAGACTGGTCACGAATGAAAGCAGTCACTTGATCTAGAGTGGCCGAGTTGGCATCACGCAGTTTTTCCTACCAGATTTCGTGCTCAGCGTAAGATTCTAGTAATTGGGCATAATGCTCTACCTACCTGGGCTTTGGACTCAAGATGGTCCCAGCTCGTTTGGAATTGCTTCTCGCGGAGCGCTACGCACTCGGGAAGCTCTTCGCCGTTCAATAAAGGCACAAATGAGGACGAGGTTGCGATATTCGCCTTTTCGACGACAGCCTTGTTGGACAAACGGCGACGTTTGGCGGGTCGATCCACTCCAGCTTCCTCACCAGGAGGCCGGAAGATGAAGGCGGCCTGTAGACGGAGATCAGCATCAATTACACATGTGAGAAGCAGAACCACTGACCTGGTGATCTTCCTGCCTAAATTGGGGTTCTTGGTCATCTTCAACACTCATTTTGTGGGTTGACATAGGCGGTTGGCGGTGAGAAGATATGTCGTTGAAATGGAGGTCGCGCTTTTCTGACTGGCACGCGTCGCCAACATCTTCAAAGCACGGACTTACACAGTGTCGCAGACGTGGAGCACTGCACTTTACCCCTTAGCAACGCTGGTGTGCACAGTGTGTAGAGGCTTGGGATACCTTTATCCCCGTGGTGACAATATCACGGACATAGCACATTTAGATGCCTAGGAATTGGCAGATAAGTGCGTCGGGACGCAAGCACGTCTTTCAAGGCGTTTTCCATATAAATGACATTAAATCAATCCTCCAAGGCCGTGTTGAACTAGTGACTACCAGTCTCCTCGCCCTCCTAACATCGCAAACCCTTGACCTGAGGCGAGCTTCATTCTACCTCAAAAACTTTAGGCCATTGCCATCCTACACCTGCCTCATCATAACCCAAACAAGCGGTCGCCGCAGGCAATGCGAGCATCCGTGGATGCCAAGACTGTCCTTTCTGAGCTGGATTCCTCTCCCTTGGGGGCGCCTTCACCCCTTTGTACAATGAACCCGCTTCACTGGACGAAGACGATGCATGCCGTCTGAGATCAGCACTACCGCAGTTGCTTGTCGTCTAACGATTCCCAGCTGCACCGCTTAGAAACACGGGAACAAGTAATTTTACACCGAAACCAAGTTGAGATCGCTTTGCGATTCGAGAGAAACCGTATACGCCAGGAAACGCAAGAGCCCAGGCTCAAATGGCCCGAGACGCCCACAGTCGGCTGGGCCTTGTCTTCACTTTCAAGATTTTTGGGAACGTGAACGGGTTCCCTAAGACTTAACCTCATCCGTTTCCGGGGCCGCAGATGCCTCCTACGAATTTGGTTAGCTCATCTCAGCATGTTCATGAGACACTGTTACTCACCTTCTCACTGGGCTCTTCAGCGGGCTTCTCGGCCTTTTCGGGCTTTTCTTCTGCCTTTTCAGGCTCCTCGGACTTCTTCGCACTTGCCTCCTTTTCGGTCTGCTTCTCAGAATCCTCGGACTTTTCAGCTTCCTTGCTTTCCTCTTTAGCACCGTTAGGAGTGGCAGAAGTCTCCTTCTTCTCCTCAGTCTTTCCGGAGGTGCCATTGACACCATTGGTGGGAGCCGGAGTTGCGGACGCAGCAGCGGCATCACCACCACTGAGAATCTTGGTCCACTTGTCAAGGAGCGTCTGCGAACGACTCTTGAAGTTGAATTCCTCCTCTTTGGGGATGGAATCAAGCTTGAGAATAGCCTTGAGGACCTTGTTGATCTTGGTCGCCCGAATGATCGAGACCTCAAGATCTGGGAAGCTCTCAAGCTTAGTAATGTAGTCTGACATCATCTTCATCTCTTCCTCCTTCGGCTCTTGGTCTCTGGTAAGCAAGCCCTTCTGAAGTTTGTGGCGCAAGAAGAGAACCTCCTTCTGTAGTCCGTGTTAGCATCTAGGCTGGGAGCCGTGTCATGATCTTAACTTGCCTCCTTGCGTTGGTGCTTCTCTTCAGCGGTGAGCTCAGGCTCCTTAGGAACTTCCTTCTCCGCCTTCTTCTCAGCACCCTCCTTCTTGGCTGATTTGGACTTCGCAGGCTTAGCGGCTGACTCTTTAGCCGACTTTGGTGTAGCTGTCCCGTTTGTCGTCTTAGGAGTGGAGGATGTGTTCAGCTTGATCTTAGGCTTCTTGGCAGAATCAGTCCGTGCCGGGGTCTGTAGGAAGTAAGCTTTAGGACGAATCCTATTACGTCTCCAGTAACTTACGCTAATGGCTTCTTCGTCCGCCTTTCTCTTCTTGGACTTGGTCTTCTCCTTAGGTTCGGGGACCTCCTCCTCCTCGTCCGCAGCATCAGCCATGTCGACATCATCGTCCGAAATGACCGCAGGAGTCTTCTTCTTGTTCTTCTTTGCGGCCTCTCTGGCATCCTTGGCGGCCTGCTTCTGAGCTACTTCATCTTGGTATTTCTGAAGCTCGTCCTTGTAGTAATCAAGGGGGTGTTGCTCGATGGCGAGCTCGAAGGCATCGCGCAACTCGACCTTCTTGACTTTGTCGGTGAGGAGTTCGGTCGCCTTTTCGGAGTTCAGCTCTTGGAGAGCAGAGTTTGGTACCCAACCGCTGGACAATCACGAGTTAGCATCGAACGTCTTGTGGTCGGGTTGGGAGCTTGTATCATCAATTGACTTACAATTCGTTCGTCCGGAGGTACATGACGGGGAATGTGCGGTCATTTTGACGCTTGCCACCATCAGCAAAGTCTTCGCGATACGTGCCGTCGGCACGCTTCGCGGTGACGGGACGGCTCTTGAGCAGGGTCTCGGGGAGCATTTCCTCGTCGCAGACAATGACGGGCCATTGAGGGTATCCCTTGAGCTTGACGAGGAAGTGATCGCCGGGTTGCGCATTGGTGTTGAAGAACTTCGCCTTCGATGCCTTCTTGCTAAGCTTTTTGCCCTTGTGTTCCGGAATACCGGACGATCTCCGACGCGACTTGGACTTATCAGCTGTCGCATCAGCGGCGTCAGCGTCAGCAGCAGGCGCTTGCTCAGCATCATTGGCAACGGCATCAGATGTCTCTTTCGCCTCAGCTCCATCTGTCACGTCCTTCATCTCGACGTCCTCGTCCTTGGATTGTTCGTCTGTCTTGCCGGATGATTCCGCGTCTTTGGTCTCAGCTGCTGTCAAGCAATGCGTCAGCAAGATGGTCAATTGAGTATGCAAGTGCTGATATCAAGGTTAAGTGGCGACGGAGAAGGGACTTACAATCCTTGTTTTTGGAGTCGTCCTTCTGCGCATCCTCGGTGGTCTCCTTGGCAGCTGCCTCAGACTCAGATGGTTTCGCGTCGCTGGCAGCAGTCGCGGGCGCCTCAGAAGCTTCAGCAGCAGGCGAGGTTCCTTCAACCTTCTTCTCCACCTCCTCAGTCGCGGCAGGCGCGGATTGACCGCTGGTGGTCGGCTCGTCAGACATGGTCGGTGATGTGACGATAGCTTGGAAGCTGGGTTGCAAGGGTATGGATGGGGTAAATAGGCAAGTCGCGACGCCAAAGACTAATGGCGATGGGTCAAAGGAAGAAACACGCGTCGTGATACGCGCGATTCGTGATTTTTTGTTGTCGCGACGATGGTAGAAGATAATCTGGCTGCAGGAAGGATGATGGGCGCGATTGGGAGCTCCCCGTGTTGTGGTAGCAGAAAAAGGCAATGGCCTGGAAAAAGATGAACGCAGAAACTCTTGGAGTTGGACGCGGATGACGGCGGAGACACGTGACTAGCGCTGATCCACCAAGGGACGAGTTAAATCGCGGAGTCTCAGTTGCGCGACGCCTGTGAGAGGGAACGTGGACGTGGCCCGGTCAATGCCCAGCCCACCGAACGTTCGCTGCCTCGACTCAGCCACGCTTCCTTCACTTCAATATCACTTTGACCCCTGTCGAACGCCTCCGGCAGAGATACACCGCGATCAGGTTACATTGCCTCTTGTGGTTTATTGAAGAAAAAGAAATCAAGATGCGTCGTTGACTTTAGTTGCGCCTTTCCCACTTGAGATAGGTTATCAATCACCGTTGTTCAGCGTTCCCATGCCACCTTGGCCGCTGAGGCACCACCGCAACTGCTGTCGCACCGCACACTGTCTGCGCAACCGGTCTTCAGGCCATTCAACCCTGTCGAAAGAGGACAAGAGCCGCCTGTAGATGGTTTCTGATAAGGGCGAAGAACTGAATGTGACCAAGTCTGTCTATTACCCTCAACTCCTCTCTCGATCGATATAGTACACATTGCGATATTGTACGGACGAGATGGTTCTGCCATCTGCCGAGCCGTCTATTCCTCGTCCTCTTCCTCATCGCTGTCGTCCACGTCCATACCCTCCGCAGCCGTGATGGAAAATTCGCGCTCTTGATCCACTCCGACGTAACTGTCGCTCATTAGGAACAGCTTAAGGTCGTGCTTACCAGCTGTTGGCACCGTAAACTCCACCTTCACCTTCAGCTCCCGTCCGATCGTGACACGCTTAATGGCAAGCAAGTTCTTCGTCGTCTGCTCCCCTACAACAAGCCACCAGTTCTCCAACTTCTTGGCTGGGTAGAACGGTGCGTGCACAGTCGGGTCAAACTCCTCATCCTCCTCCACTTGTCGTTGGATCTGCACACTAAGGTACGCAGGCTCGTTGGCTCTGATATCGTCCTCATCCAAGACACTGTGTTCAAGCTCAATGTCGGGGTATTTGTCATTGGTGAAGGCGGCAGCCTCACCCAACTGCTTCTGCGAGAGACCAAGACGCTTGACCAATTTGGCGTAATCCGGGTTCTCTTCGGGGTTCATGGCTTCCATGAAATCGAAGATATCCTTGACACTGTGAGAAAATTCGACGTTAGTTTTGCAAATCAGCACTGCATAAATTGGTACATACCCAAATTCGTTTGCCACCTTCACAACCTCAGGTGTAAAGTGAGGAATCTGCTTCAAGGGGCTATCGCGATCCCACATCGCCTGCACAACCATCTGCGACATTTCCATGGCGTTCATGGCGTTGATGTGGCCATCAGATGAGAGAATATCAACCGTTGCACTCAGAAGACTGAGAACCTTGGAAATGATGACTTCTTGGTCCTTGGCCAAATCAATCGGCAGCTGCATTCGCGAGAAATGCGCCTGCAGGAGGACAAAGGCCTTGAAATGGGCCGAATCATACACAGGCTCTGCCATCTTGACAGGAATACGGTCGTAGATCCTGCGGAGAATGCCCTCCTCGTGCCTCCTGATCTGGATAGCTTCGAATTCAGTAGCCGATGTGATAATTTCCAAAACGCCCTTGAGTTTGGTCTTGGCGCTCAGAGACAAGAGGAACGTCTGCATAGTGATGTAGGAGATGTTGTAGTATGCTGCAATCATGGCCGCGTTCTGCGGCGCAACGGAGCCATCGTCCTCGTCAAGCTCAATGATCTTGGAGTCGCTCAGCTCTTGCAGGGTGGTCTGGATGAGATCCGACATGTAGTCGCTGAGACCATCCTGCGTAGTGCTGGTCAAGCTGTAGAAGCTGGGGTTGGCCAGGAGACGCCTGTAGAAGTAGGTGAACGTCGTCCAGTTGATGGCATCATCACCAGACTCGATCATCTTCGTGCTGATCTCGGTGACAAAGGCATCGTGAAGGTAGTTGTGGAGATGTGACTCGACAGGGAGAGCCTCATTCAAAAACTTCTTGTAGAATTCTCTCTTGGCTGACGGAAGCATAAGAACGCCCCGGCCTCTGCCGTCCTTGGAAGGTCGGAGTGCCTTGCCGAACATGTGCAAGACTTCGCTTAGGGAGTAATCGACATAGCGATGCTCGCGACCCTCGAAATATTGCGTGCCCATGACGATGACGAGGTGGGCAGTGCTGTTGAGCTCCCAGCAAACGTCACGAGAAGCAACAAGCACCTGAATAGCTCCATGCTCGTACAGGTGCTTGACGATACGCTTGTCGCTCTGACTCAAAGCCTCGTGGTAGTATCCCACGCCGTGAGAAAGAGACTCGGCGAGTGCTTCTTCGGAAATGCGATCAAGAAGAGGGCGCATCTGCTCCACCTCAGCGTGCAGGAAACGGTCTTCGTCATCATCCATGAAGGCGGCTGTCAGCAGATCACGCGTGGTCGCTCGTGTTTGCTTCCGACTCGGAACAAACACAATAGCGGGTTTGTCAGCGGACATCTGCGTGATGGCCAAGTAAGTCGGCTTCGCCATAGACAGCATCAGTGAAGGGAAGTGAGGGTTGGTGTAAGATTGGATGTGAAGTTCGAGGGGTACAGGGCGGACGTGCGGGCTGAAGTTGTAGATATCGTGCTTCTTCGCGTCGATCCACTCGCCGAGGTCGCGGGCGTTGGCAAGGGAAACACCAAGCGCGATAATTCTCATTGGAAGCTCAGTCTGGGTTCGGATGTAGTGCATTCGCGAAATGATGATTTCGTAGACATATCCCATGTTGTTTCCGAGCAGATGAACCTCATCTGCAATGAAAAGCTCGACAGTGGAAACGTTCTTCCTGCGCTTCCACTGGCGGGACAATACATCCCATTGGATGGGAGTCGCAAGAATCAGGTCGCTACGCTCCAGAATCTTCAAGTCGGTAGTGGTTTCTCCCGTGAGCTTCTCGATAGTCTTTCCACCCCGGAGACCGCCAAGCCTCTTCTGCCAGTCATCAAGGCGTGAGTCGATCAGCTCCTGGAAGGGTGCGATGTAGACTACACGTCCAGCGTCTGCCTTAGACCAGTGTCGCAGTAGAGAAAACTCTGCGCATACCGTCTTGCCACTTCCCGTCGGCGCACCCACGAACACATTCTGATCGGTGTTGTACAGCGAGTTGAAAGTTTGCGTCTGGATGCGGTTGAAGTGGTCCCAGTCAGGGTACAATTTGGCATACTCTTTGGCCTTCAGCGCCGCAACAGGCAAAGGCTGAAGCTCAAGGAGCTCAGTGTGGGGAGGAAACCTCTCGGGAAGAATCAGCTTGTGGAATGATACTGGCAATCTTGTTTCGGAATGCATCCAGCGATCAGACACAACTGAGATGAAGTAGTTCGGGGGCATTGGCTCTGTGATCGGCACGGTGAAGTCGACAATGTGCTCGTTCGACTCAGACTCGGCGTACTCCTTGCGCAGCAAGAATTGGTCACTGAAGAGAATATCCTCTCCATCACAATCCTCGACGAAGATCCAGAAACTTTCCGCTGGGCCGTGGATTTCGACATCCCACTCAAAGTTGGGAGCGATACTCAACTCGACTCGAAGCATGGATCTCGTAAGTGGCTGAACTTGAGCCTGAACCTCCACTCTGGGGAACTTGGCAACCAAGCCACAGACAGTTCTGCCGGCCTTGGGCATGCCAAGCAATTCTCCCATTCGAGGAGGGTCGAGGTCGAAGTAGTTGCTCCAAGACACTTCGATTCTCTCCGACTTCTGCACAATGTCTCTAGGGCAGTTGGGGAACTGACGAAGTGGTGACATGGTTGGCCACATGCGCTTCTCTGCCATCTTGCAAAGATCCAAGGCGGTCTTGGCCACAGACGCCCATCCCTTCTTCATGGTAATTTCGAAGATGGCGCGGAGAATACGACCAGCGGATTGAGTGACGTAGACCATATCAGCCATAAGGGCTAGACCGTCCAACTTAAGTCGTGAGATGTAGGCTTGCAGCAACACGTTAATCTTCGCGTGAGGCTCCTCGATGCTCTCCTTAACTGGGATCGGAACTCTGCCCAACAACTTGGCAAGCTCAAGCTTTTCATCCTGACGCACGGGGATGTACTTGAACTCTGCACTCAGAGAGAATACTCTGAACAGCTCAATGGTTGTGATTGAGGGTTGGATCAGGTTGTTGTAAGTCTCCATAGAGCCATGTGTGATGTAGTAGTGGGAAGCGATGCGCCCTAACTCCGTTGACTGGAGCTTGCCGGTCTTCTCATCGTATTTGATAAGATTTGACTTCCTTAGTACTGAAGCAGCAGAATGAATCAAATCAACTCGTTTTTGTTCCAAAGCCTCATCATCTTCGTATTCCGCGCCAACTTGGTAGAGGCCGGGCGAACGTAGCATACGAACGAACAAGTAGGTGTAGCCAAGCCATTCGACACCCTCGTCTCTACTGCGGACGTTGCCGAGCACAATCTCGGCGTTCAAGTTGTCTACGAGCTTACTGACGAATTGACTCTCGATTGGTAGTTGTTGATTGAGGAGCGACAAGTAGTACTGGATCTCGTTCTGGGTTGTGATGATGATGCCCTCGCCATAGGTATCGTATTGTGGACGCCCGGCACGTCCAAGCATCTGCAGGACGTCTTGGGGGCTGAGCTCAACCCAGCTACCTTTCTCTGGAGAGTATACTGAAGTGCCTTTGATAATGACGGTATGCGCTGGCAGGTTGACACCCCAAGCAAGGGTCGCGGTACAGACAAGGACTTGAATAGCGCCACGGGCGAAGAGGTCCTCAACATCTGT